TAAAATACTATAATGCAATACGAGTGTCAGCCGAGCTTGTCGGTAGTATACTGTAGTATACTACAATACATCGCGGCTACCAGCCGGCAATACGGCTATCAGCCGGGCCTGTCTGTAGTATACCATAGTATACTACAATACATCACGGCTACCAGCCGGGGTTATTTAACTGTAATAATTAATAAAATACTACAATGCAATACGAGTGTCAGCCGAGCCTGTCGGTAGTATACTGTAGTATACTACAATACATCGCGGCTACCAGCCGGCAATACGGCCATCAGCCGGGCGTGTCTGTAGTATACTATAGTATACTACAGACACGCCCGGCTGATAGCCATATTGCCGGCTGGTAGCCGCGATGTAAGACACGCCCGGCTGATAGCCGTATTGCCGGCTGGTAGCCGCGATGTATTGTAGTATACTATAGTATACTACAGACAGGCTCGGCTGACACTCGTATTGCATTGTAGTATTTTATTAATTATTACAGTTAAATAACCCCGGCTGGTAGCCGTGATGTATTGTAGTATACTACAGTATACTACTGACAGGCTTGGCTGACACTCGTATTGCATGGTAGTATTGTATTACAGTTAAATAACCCCGGCTGGAAGCCGTGATCTATGCCGCGATGTATTGTAAGTATTGTATTAAAGTGTAGATACAGCTCGGCTGCTACTGTACCCTTGGCCGTGTACGATGGCGTAATCGCGCTGGCTAAGAATAACCTGTATATATACAATAAATTAACATATTTTCCGTGTAAGACGTGGTGGCGCAGAGGGACAAGACCCAGCGTGTATGCTGAAGGTCGTGAGTTCTGTCCCGGAATGCGCGCAAACGAATTTAAATTTTTCTTTTTGCCGAAATTTTTTTTTTTTCTCGTTTATTTACCTGTCGCATAGCTAGCTATATGCATTGGGAAGATGAATTTAGATGCATTTCGATGATTTTCGGAAAATTTAATGTAATTTTGGTGATTTTCTGCTTATGAAACATTCTAGAACCAGTCTCCGAAATGCGCGCATTTTTTGAACGAATAGTATACTATAGTACAGCCCGGCTGGCAGCCGAGCAATCGGAGACAAAATTTCCGGCTGTCAGCCGGCGTCAAACGCGCTAATCGGGTGGCGCAGTTTGCAAACTTTCCAGTCTGGCAAGAAACCAGATCATTGAAGTTACTAAACAATAACATAACGGTAACAAATATATTTATTATACTATATATTAGTATTTACTACACTCCATAACTGGGTCACACTAAAAATATCCATGATCATGATGCTGTATTAAAATATTGACAGTTTGTAAAAGTCAATAAGCTATACTTACCGTCAAATATATTTACATCATTACATTCAAACCCAAATTCAGCTTCGTTTGGCCATTCACCTACTTCGTCTTTAACGCAGTCCATTTTCAAGAAAAACTAACAGGTTTCAGAAGGCAACACCAATTTTATATCAACTGACGTTTTAGAAGGCAACACCAATTTTATATCAACTAGCAGCCATGTTTATAGTGTTATTGCATCAGTGGGAAGAACATCCACCAATCACAATCCAGTATTTCTCGTATGATATGACGTCCTGCTAGAACTCGTCGTCGTAAAGTGCCGTAAATTGTCGCTTAGTTCGTAAATTAGGCTAGTTGTCATAGCAACAAAATGAAACCAAAATGGCGAGAATTTCTTGTCCTGAAAATATAAATGAATTGAGAAGAAAATACATAATTATTTGCTCAATGTTAACATAAACTATAGTAAGAACAAACAAGAAAGGTGTAGTTTTATTTAAGGTACAGTATTTTACTATTTTTGTTTTAGCATGTTTATTTATTGGTGTAGTTTTATGTCACGATCTACTAGAAAAACATTACAAATTTTGTGTGACAGTGGCAGTTCACAGTTTGGTCAAGTACTCATGTTTCAAATTTGAAAATATTATATTTAGAAAAGATGGATGATAATTCTTTAATAAATACAATATCAATTTCGCATAATAATTTTAAAACGTGTCAATTGATGATGAGTATTTTTCATGGTCAATAAATTTACATGGAAACCACTGGCCCTGTGCCAAGGCATGTCTGGTGGGAAATGTTTCTTAATTTTACAGTGCGTCTACTGTAAGTGGGGCCACTTAGAGAACACTAACCAATCACATTGCAGCACAGAAAGTGAAAAAATCAACAAACGGCGCATTAGCCAATCAGCATTAGGACAAAAACAATTCGAACAAATAAACGAATGGCAAACGGTAAAAATAGACATGTAAAAGTAAACATTGCAGTTAATGGCTTCCTGAATCTTTCTTTTGATTGGACGAGCTTTAGTTTGATTAGATTTTTCTTTCTGTTCTGCAATGTGATTGGTTAGTGTTCTCTAAGTGGCCCCACTTACAGTAGATGCACTGTAACTATATATTTTCTATCACGGGTACTTTACAGTTTACTGTACCCATGTACCGCAAGTATTTGATGGTGTGTGTTCTGATGGCGAGTTTCCCTGTTCTTTTATTGCGAGTTTCCCATAGAAATATTAGACCTAGAATGCGTGCTTGGTCACGTGACCGGTGTCCAAACTGAAAACAAAAATGCCCTTATAAATCCGCCATGTTGAATTTGAGTAGGAGTGCAAACTACAAAGTATAAACAAAACTAAAACTATAAAGTTTTCATCGTCAAAACGTTTGGTATTTGTAGTTTGGGGATAGAATTTGAAATATTAAGTTCTTTAAAGGCTCAAAGCAAATGTGCCGTTACAAAAACGGTGAAAATCGAGCAGCCTTGTATAAAAAACAAGTAGTTTTTTTGTGTAGTTTCGCGTATAAAATATAACTTACTCATAAAACATTTTTGCAAGCTCTGAACGTAACTGTTTTGCTAATACTTTATAAAATTACGAGATGATAGTTCATTCTTCGTCGGGTTTTGTTTTTCTTCAATCTAAACGAAGTGTTTTCATGTTTTTGAAACAAAAATATTTAGTTGTTGATATTTAAAACTGTAAATCGCCTAAATGATCGTCGAAAACATATGGTTTCAAAAGCGTTGCCTCAAGCTCAAGCAACGTATAAAAAAGTATAAAAGTAGTTGTGTAAGTTTAAAAAGATTATTGAACTCTATTTATATTATAAAACAGTTGAAATATATTTTTTAAAACATACCTATTGAGTTTCAGTTTGTCTTGATTTTTCGTGTTTTGTTTTGGCTTGCACAACAACGTTGAAAATGTATTTTGAAACGACGATTTCTCTATATATTCTGTTCAGAACTATTGCTCTTCGTAAAAAAACCCATGGGAATGGGTTTTTCTCCATTAAAAACACTTTTTTCCACTTCAAGTCTGGATAGAATTGTTTTTGCAAACTTTGTTGAAAAAAACAATTCGCACTCCCGGCACCGCGCGAAATTCCACGCCACAGGAGTCTGGGACTAGCCAAAATGCCCTTATAAATCCGCCATTTTGTGGAGACAAAATTTTTACTGAGAAGAGATAGGAGCACGCATTCTATGTCTATTATTTCTATGGAGTTTCCCCATTCTTTTATCGCGTGTCCGGTACGGTAAAGTGTAAAATTTCCCCTATCACTTAGTACATTGTTATATCCGGCACAAAAGAATGGTTAATTCCATATGCATATGGTTGGATATTCAGCCTGCACTAAATAATTAGGTCAGATAAATAGCAGTTACATGTTACTAGCAAATATTCTTTGAATGTTTCATGGAAAATATCCACCTTTTTGAAAAATAATGCTAAATTTACATACTGCAATTTGTCTGTCCAATTTTTAGTTTTATTCCCGGCATAAAGTGGAAAAACCAGAGTCTGGTTAAAATCGAATCTTTACTTAGGCAAAATTAATGTCTGCTTCATGCCCCCATGTCTTTTCCACAATTCCTTGATTCTAGGCCTTTCTGTGCAGAAAATTCTTGCAATAGACATTTCTTATAATGACATCAAACGTAGACAAACACTTAAGGTTACAGAACACCTTTGAGTGTTAATTTTGCCTAAATTTTTTTTATTGGTTTCCATGAAAGCATTAGACTAGTTCTACTACCTGACCAAGTTTGAACGAAAAATGTTGAAAACTCGCATTGTTATTTAATAAAATACATTTCGCTGCAATAAGAAAAACATTGAAAATGTAATATTCAAATTCAATTTTCTCCCGAAGAATTTTACGGCAATTACTGATTTTCAAACGAGTTGTGCTCCTGCGGGTTTTAACGAATTTCTCTCAAATTTTCACAGGACATAGCTAAAGACGTCAGTTTCAAAACTGTGTTCGGCTTTGTTCTAATTTTGGATATTTTAATAATAAAGAGCAATTCACTCAAACAATTCAGAAATATATTGCAGTCGTCAAAGAAATCGCCATATCAGCGGAATGACGAAATAAACAAAAATTTCCGAAGCACAGTTTTTTAGAACAACTATTTTACTGTTTAAAAATGGTATTTTCATAAATATAACTTAAAACCAGCAGGAGCACAACTCAAAAGCGTCACGGTACTGCGATTTAAGATTTTCCTGAATAATTCTTACATTATTTTATTGTTTGTTAATTTTATAACTTTACCATATTTTGCATGCACTGGCGAACATTTGGTGAAAATTTGATGAAAATCGGACTGATTTTGAGCGCGCAGTACTTTAGCGATTTTCCGCAAAACGCCAAAAAGGGTGTCCTGTAACCTTAATGCAATGTCCCACACTGCAAAAAATTCTGAGTAGAATCCACTCAAAAAATTGAGTAAATGAATGCACCCACAGTGACACAAAATAGTGAGTAAAACTACTCATAAAATGTGAGTAATATTTACTCAAATTTTTGAGTTTATTTACTCAAAAAACTGAGTTGAAAGTACTCAAGTTATACACATTTACAGTTACTCACGGTAGGAGTAAACAATAAATTACTCAAACTTTGAGTAAACGTACTCAAAACGTGAGTAATTTTACTCGAAATTTGAGTATTTTTACTCAAAAAAAGAGTTCTAGTTACTCAAATAAAATGCACCCATAGTGACTCCTTATTTTGAGTAAATGTACAGTTTACTCAAACTTTGAGTAAATTTACTCAAACTTTGAGTATGTTTACTCAAAAAAAGAGTTCTAGTTACTCAATAAAATGTACCCATAGTGACTCGTTATTTTGAGTAAATGTACAGTTTACTCAAACTCTGAGTATTTTTACTCAAAAAAGAGTTCTAGTTACTCAAATAAAATGCGCCCGAAATGACTCTCTATTTTGAGTAAATGTACAGTTTACTCAAACTTTGAGTACATCTACTAAAAAATGCTCCAGTTACTCTATGAACAAGTGGTGTGTCACTGTCAAACCATAACATTGAGTAACTAATTAAAGTAGCAGACAAAAGTACTCCACAGTGTGCCACAGCAAGGAACAAAAGTACTCCACAGTGTGTTACTTTGAGAAACAAAAATAATTATATATACTATTAATCGTCAATAGAATTATGCAAGCACAAACAATATTTTTTGAAGAATAAACGTTTATAATTATTAAAACCCCCCACAACTCAACAAGATTTTTAAAATTATTACTCTAGTACACTGAACTATATGTATACATGGATGGAAGGTTATTACTTTAGTGACTTTAGCCAAAATGGCGGCTCGATCGCGAAGTCATTCTCGGACGTCAATTTTATAATAAGTTCCAGACTTTACTGTAATAGTTTCAGTTGGCAGGTTTCAGTTCGTTTGAGCTGATAAACCTTCAATGTACAGTATATATAGTTCAGTTGTACTGTAATACATGCATCTACATACACCAATTGAAAAATGAAATATAAAGTCTTAAAAGATCAAAGAGGTAAGATAAAACAGTCTTAATATATATATATATATATATATATATATATATATATATATATATATATATATATATATATATATATATATATATATATATATATATATATAGTGTTTAATTAAGGCCATGAGGCAATTTTTGGTGCAACTTCCAATGCAACTTCTGGCATATATAGCAATGTTATGTAAAACGTAATCAGAGTAAATTTAAGGTCGCTGAATCTCAGTTAATACTTTTTATGTGATGTTATTATAAATATACTGTACATCAATCTATGTGGCAGAAGTTGCAACAAAAATTGCCTCGTGTAAGATTGCTTAAAATGGCTATAGCACATTTTAATACTTAGCAGTTTCAATCATCATCTCCGATCATAATTGTATTGAGCTTGTTCACAAAGGTTATCACAGAAGTCAGTAGCTTCTTGCTGTTGTTTATGTTTATGTTTAGTAGCTTTAGTACACACGACTACCTGGGTACTGTCCATATAAGTACATAATTTGTAGCCACGAATGCCACAGCTACATCTACCAGCCATCTTCAGAAGATATAAAGGACCATGGTTTCGGCAACAACGGCCATCAATCTCGTTGCAGTCGTTGCAGTTTTCAATGTTTCTCTTTACCAGAATTTGGGAGGTTACCATGCATATTACAAGCTGACAGCATCCTCAAAGCTTTCATCCTTATGCCAAAATAAGAAATGTAATGAGATTATACACATTTAATTTTTATTTACAGCATGCCTGGCACAAGCATGCAGTATATATAAGGCCAAATTAATTAAATAAAAACTTGGCATCACCGCCCGCCTCTCGATTTCTGCTGCCTCTTTTTTATGTAAATCTCTTCGTTTTACAGCTTAAACAGTTTAATATTTGAATTTTTTTTCATGCTCAGACCTTCGCGCTATATACTGATCGATAGGAGCGTGTGGGCTTGGGTATACAGAATTCTTATAGTAAAATGGCGCCCTTCGCAACATCAGTACAAAGAATTTCACCGATATGGTAGAAAAACCGCCCCCATCCCCCTTTAAAAATTTAAAAATGAGTAAAAATTTAAAAAACACTGCCCGCCCGCCTCTGAAAATTTGTGAGAATGTGACGCTAACCAAATATTTTTTTCATTTGGCCTAAGCACAGGTTCGCAGAAGCTAGCTTCACCATTCCCCCAATGGGCAAACCCATGTAGTAATTGTTTCTTACTGAGTTAATACTTAATGAATTAATATAAGTAAAAATATATATAATTTATATACAAGTACATTTTAGTTCATGAAATGCTAAAAACTCCTGAATGCTAAAATATATCTTTCATTTGCTACCGGTATACACAGTATTTGACTATGCAAAATAGAAAATTGTCAATATTTATACAGAAGGTATATGTCCATGCATCTCCCCTTTCATGAGCATGCAGCTTGTTTGACCATGACACTCAAAAGTGGTGCTGGTAAAAGGTGGCAAGTACCAGCCTTACAAAACAACAGTAAACTGCATCAGCATATATTTGTTCCCGCTGATAGATGGCTTTAAGATGTGCCAGCTGAGTGAGCTATTGGTCAAAGGCGGCAAGTACCAGCCTTACACAAAAGCTGAAAACAGCGCTACTAAATAAAGATCAAAATTCAAAACAAACTGTATTGTTGTTTAAGTTCATTTCCTTTGCTGTTTTAACTCGCATGTTCATTTTTGTTTAATATAAGTAAAAATATATATAAAGTATTATGCAAGTACATTTTGGTTCATGCAATATGCTAAAAAGTGCTAAATATCATATAGATAGAGCAAAATATACTGTATGTATATATATATATATATATAATGCTAACCTACTGTTTCTTTCATTTGCTATATCTTTGACCATGCAAAATAGAAAATTGTCAATACAGAAGGTATACATTCATGCATCTCCCCTTTCATGAGTGGCTTGTTTGACCATGCCACTCAAAAGAAGTGCTGGTAAAAGGCAGCAAGTACCAGCCTTACACAACAACAGTCAACTGCATCAGCATGAATGTATACAAGCTTTGAATTATGTCATAGCAGTTCCCACTGACAGGTGGCTCTAAGATGTGCCACCTGAGTGAGCTATTGGTCAAAGGCGGCAAGTACCAGCCTTACACAAAAGCTGAAACAAGCACTACTAAGATCAAAATTCAAAACAAACTGTATTGTTATTTAAGTTCATTACCTTTGCTGTTTTAACTCACAAGTTCATTTTGTCTAATATAAGTAAAATTGTAATTATTGTAATAAATTGTAATATATATAATTTATATACGAGTACATTTTGGTTCATGAAATGCTAAAAAGTGCTATTTTTAAATTATCATATAGATAGAGGAAAATATACTGCATGCATGTGTATATACTAACCTACTGTTTCTTTCATTTGCTATATATTTGACCATGTTGCAAAATAGAAAATTGTCAATATAGAAGGTATACATTCATGCATCTCCCCTTTCATGAGCGGCTTGTTTGACCATGCCACTCAAAAGAAGTGCTGGTAAAAGGCAGCAAGTACCAGCCTTACACAACAACAGTAAACTGCATCAGCATGAATGTATACAAGCTTTGAATTATGTCATAGCAGTTCCCACTGACAGGCGGCTCTAAGATGTGCCACCTGAGTGAGCTATTGGTCAAAGGCGGCAAGTACCAGCCTTACACAAAAGCTGAAAACAGCACTACTAAGATCAAAATTCAAAACAAACTGTATTGTTATTTAAGTTCATTACATTTGCTGTTTTAACTCACAAGTTCATTTTGTCTAATATAAGTAAAATTGTAATTATTTAATATACCGTATAAAATTTATATACGAGTACATTTTGGTTCATGAAATGCTAAAAAGTGCTATTTTTATATTATCATATAGATAGAGGAAAATATACTGCATGCATATGTATATACTAACCTACTGTTTCTTTCATTTGCTATATATTTGACCATGATGCAAAACAGAAAATTGTCAATACAGAAGGTATACATTCATGCATCTCCCCTTTCATGAGCGGCTTGTTTGACCATGCCACTCAAAAGAAGTGCTGGTAAAAGGCGGCAAGTACCAGCCTTACACAACAACAGTAAACTGCATCAGCATGAATGTATACAAGCTTTGAATTATGTCATAGCAGTTCCCACTGACAGGTGGCTCTAAGATTTGCCACCTGAGTGAGCTATTGGTCAAAGGCAGCAAGTACCAGCCTTACACAAAAGCTGAAAACAGCACTACTAAGATCAAAATTCAAAACAAACTGTATTGTTATTTAAGTTCATTACCTTTGCTGTTTTAACTCACAAGTTCATTTTGTCTAATATAAGTAAAATTGTAATTATTTAATATACCGTATATAATTTATATACAAGTACATTTTGGTTCATGAAATGCTAAAAAGTGCTATTTTTAAATTATCATATAGATAGAGGAAAATATACTGCATGCATATGTATATACTAACCTACTGTTTCTTTCATTTGCTATATATTTGACCATGATGCAAAATAGAAAATTGTCAATACAGAAGGTATACATTCATGCATCTCCCCTTTCATGAGCGGCTTGTTTGACCATGCCACTCAAAAGAAGTGCTGGTAAAAGGCGGCAAGTACCAGCCTTACACAACAACAGTAAACTGCATCAGCATGAATGTATACAAGCTTTGAATTATGTCATAGCAGTTCCCACTGACAGGTGGCTCTAAGATGTGCCACCTGAGTGAGCTATTGGTCAAAGGCGGCAAGTACCAGCCTTACACAAAAGCTGAAAACAGCACTACTAAGATCAAAATTCAAAACAAACTGTGTTTAAGTTCATTACTATTGCTGTTTTAACCCACAAGTTCATTTCTATTAATAAATCCTACTGTTTCCTCCTTTACTGTATTTCGACTATGCAAAGTTAAAAATCATGCACCCCCCCCCCATCTGAGTCAAAGATTTCATGTAGAAAACTGTGGAAAAGAGACTTTCAGAGTCAACTTTTAAGGCCAACCATACCTCTCATACATGTTACAGTAGATATAGTAGCTGCTGCGTGATCATTGGATCACCGTTCTGCATAACCTGCTATATTATTGACTTAATTCCAGCTCAGACAAGCTGTTTTAAAAATATGAAAGTAAAACCAACCTTGATCGTTGAGCCAGGCTTGTCCATCAATCATATTGTCTAAAAAATCAGTGAATGTCATCTTAATTATTCTTTTCATATTTCCCTTTAGTTTCTGAATGGCGAATAACAGTTTTACCATGCATTCGTAATAGGTGTCAAGTTTTAGCGTTACAATATAAAGCCAACATAGTATAGGATGAATATTATTGCCTTCCTATCTGCATATAATTTGGAATTTAGCCGTTGGCGAGCAATTGAAAATAATTTTCACATTGGGGAACAATAGCTACTCACATATTGTCACATGCAACCCTTTGTTATATAATAAACGTTATAAACCTGGGCATAATATTTACACTCAGTCTTTCTGATCAATCTGATGTCTGGCAATGATCATATTACTAACAGCAAATTTCGCACGAATGGTGACCGGCAACATACTGTATTCAAAAGAAGGATTTTACGCGCAAACACCATAATCAATGCTGTACAGTTAAATAGCACCTAGCGTTTACATTATTTAATAGATTGGGTCACAGTGCGGTGAACATATACTGAAAATCTGCAGAAGATAGTGCCGGTGTCCCAGGATTTTCGCCCCCCCCCCTGGGGGGCGAAAATCCTAGGAAATTCGCCCCCCTTTAGGAAATTCGCCCCCCTTTAGAAACTTCACCTTTTCTTTAGGATTTTTGTCCTCCGTTCAGAAGTTCGACCTTCCTAACAGTTGCATGGGATAATTATTACATGGCTTTAGTCATTTGAAATCAGTATCAATTCAAAATTGTTAAGACAGAGCTTGAAATAACAACCGATCAATGATCGGCATGGAATTGATTATGATCCGCGGAAAAGCAGGGTTTCGGTTTCCAACCTGAAAAAATCAGGGAAAGTCATGATCGAGAACTTTGGGAACGTTATTTCAAGCCCTGTAAGAATACAAATTTACAATTACATGTATCGAAAGGGCTTACACAGTTCACAGTTAATAGACTAAGACTTATGACGCTTCACAGCACACCATGCATATTTTGCATTTTCAGTGTTAATCGTTAAACTCATTGTTAAAAAGTAATCACCGTGGTGGTTATTGTCATTATTGGTATTGTTTTGCATCCACATTTTGTCGTTATCGGAAAATGTATGGCTTACAAGTTGTCACTATTTTTTACTTGCATTATTTCAATATAGTTTGTAAATTTCAGAAGCGAAGGTAGAACTTGCCAATAAGCAATACTCCAATAATATACGTTCAAAAAAGACAAAAAAGCTTTTAGTTTTGCAGAGTTTAAGGCATTGATAAAATCAAAGTATCATGAAACATGAAATTATTTGAATAAACCACACCACATATATATAATGCAATTTTCTTTGCGGAAGTTAAAAATCAAGATTACATCACTGACACTGACATGGAAAGTTGACGATTCAATGGACAATAGTCAATACGCTTCCCAACAAATTCCATAGATTTTTTATTAATCCTATAGTTTATTGTTAGCATGGAAGTGATTAATGTGGCGGCTATTGTTAACATTGGTATTGATAAAATTTGCAAGCGATTGTTTTTATAATATGTTATGTGAATGTAACTGCCAGAAGAATACGACAACATGATTTTATGAGATCTCTGTGGGCAATGGTTCCACTTTAGATGTGTAGAATATGACACTAGTCTAAGTACCTCAAATGAGTGGTTATGCAGACTGTGCACACCACCAGCTGCTAAGAAGCCTAAAATGTGTATGTGATTTTGTCTCCTTGTAATAAATAAATAAATCACACAATAAATCTTTTCAACTTGCAATCGTTTTGTTTTTAGATCAAAAATTCAAAATTTATATGGGGGGCGAAATTCCTAAAGGGGGGCGATATTCCTAGGAGATTCGCCCCCTGGGGGGCGATATTCCTAGGAGATTCGCCCCGGGGGGGGCGAATATCCTAGGAATATCGCCCCCCTTTTGAGAGGGGGGGCGAATCTCCTGGGGGGGCGAATCTCCTGTGACACCGGTACATATGACACACCGGAGGCGTTTCAAAAACGCGGCGCGATTTTTGAATTTTCAAAGTAAATGAAACCGCTAACGAAAGGAACGTTTAAAATATATATACCAAATGGCTCAATATGTTAGAGCGCAATATTTGAAAAACTTAAATCCGGATCAAAGTTACATATATGTCAATGAGAATCGAAATGAATGAATGCCGAATTGCGTCGTCTGTCTGCTCGCGGCACAATATGCCAATCGTAGAACATACCTTTAAAACTTTCACAGTAGTCGGCAAAGTCAACTTTGATCAACCACTCTCGAACGTCTTTCTTTAACATCTTCAATAAATAAATTCTTGTTGTGTTCAACAAAAATTAGATGACTCGAGCGCCTTTACAGTGAACACCAGAGTGAACACATTGACTGACCGTGGACCGACAGATTGACAGAATATAGGATGCAATTTGACTATGCCGCGTTTACAGCCCGCATGGATTTCTCCGTCGATGATTGGTTAATGGCTGGAATGACGTTAGTTATACTATAATTAGGAAGTTTGTAACAAAGACCCACATCCTGTATAACACTTCTCGCTAGACGATTTATGAAAAGGGAAAAGTGTGACAGGACGTGAGTGTATTGCTAGAGGATTAACACGAAAAGAGCAAAATATTTTGCTAGATTTAAAACCTGAATCAGTCTAAACGATTATAATATTATCTATTAAGAATTAATTAAAGTAAAATTGCCATTTATTATTCAACTTTCTGTTGCAGGACTTGGGTTAAGTCAAGATTTTTGGCAGTGGCTATTCTGAAGGTTGTGTCATTATTACTAGTCAACCTTTGGTAAAATAAGTAAAGTTTTACTTGCGATGGGAAACAT